TCAAAGGCAAAGGGAACCTTTGCTGGGTACATTATTCTGGGCCAAAAATTTTTTGATTTTAGAATCTGGAACCTGTCACTCTAGCTTGTAGAGTTTCCTGTGAGAAGTCAGCTGTGAATTTAATTGCCATTCCTCTATAGGTCAATTAATTTTTTTCACGTGCACATTTAAGGATCTTTTCCTTATGTTCAATTGAAGAGAGCTTGATTTATCATGTGCTGCGGTAAAGATCGCTTTTCAACCCTGTTGGGAGTTCTGTGCCCATCCTGGATGTTGTTTCTCAATTCTTTCTCCAGATTAGGGAAGTTTTCCTTTATTATTTCATTAAATAAATTTTTAATCCCAGCTTCTCTTTCTGTACCTTCTGGAACTCCCATAAATCTTATATTTGCCTTTTAATAGTGTCTTTCAGTTCTTGAATACTTTTTTTTAGCTTGATTCAGGTCTGCTTCCAGCTTTTTGATTTTTTTTCTCTGTTGTGGCAAGAAATATCTTCCAATTCTGAGATTCTTTTTTGCCTCGCTCATTCTATTATTGAGACTTTTCACTGAATTTTTCATTTGCTCCATTGTGGCCTTATTCCCAATAGTTCTGCTTGACTTTATTTCAGTATTGCTGTTTCCTGTTTACATACTTCTTAAATTCATGTATGTGCTCCTCATCGTTAATAAGAAGCTTTATAATGATTTTTCTGAATTCTGTATCCCCATTATCTTGATGTTTTCCTCAAGCTTTTGCTCCTTTGCAGCAGAGTCTTCAGTAATATTCATTGTGCCTCTGTCTCTTCTTTTGCTTTTGGCCATTGTTCTTCTGGTCAGCAGATTCTTCTCCTTGGGGCAAGTTTCTAAGCCATGCCAACCACATGTCAACAATTCAATTTTACTTATTGTGATTGGTACCTCGTTCTTTGTTTACAGTCGTTTGTGCCACTCCCTCCAACAAGTTTCAGATCTGGGCTGTTGTGTTTAACTTCCACCACAGTCTCTGTAGTCCCAGCTCATGGTTCACCACACTCAACCTGCCGTGATCCTATGCTGAGGCTGCTCTATTGTCCGTACAATCTTTCTCCCACTTCCATTTCATCTGTTCCCCAGATTAGGGAGACACCAGGTGTCCTAAACAACTGGGTGATTGGCAGTGCCAATCTTGCCAAAACCTGCTGGTCTTAGATCTCAGGGCCCCGTGGACCTATTTTGAGTCATAAAATGACAAAGTAGGCCTTATTTTCCCTGTGTGACCAGGACAATACACTTAACTCATTGAGTTTGCTCCCAGCTCAGCACATGTGGAGTTAACTGTTTTCCCTGTAATCTCAAAGCCTTTGCCACACTGAACAAAATGGCACCTGATGTGCCGCTAGTGGAGTTATGAATCTGCTGGCCATTATGTCTTGAGGATACCCAACCTGTTTGGGGTGGAACTTGCAGGATGTCACGTCATTGCAGTGTACCAAACCCAAAATGAGTTTGCTCCGAGCTTAGTACAGGCACAGTCCTGTCCCATAGCCTTTGCCTCCCTACACTGGGTGGTGCCTGATTCAGCTCTAGTAGGGGTCTGGGATGTGAAATTCACGCTGTTCCCACACTGGCAGATTGGGATGTGCTTCTCTGTCTCTGCTCTTGGTCAAGTCAAAGAAACGAGCTGGATGGCAGTTCTTTGGTTTCACCTCCTGAGCTCCCAGTGGACTTCCCTTCCTACCTGGTTGCTGGTGGAGCTCCAGAAGCTGGTGGAACTCAATGTGCCCATTGCTGACTGCCACTGGGTTATCTGGCACTGCAGCACCACACCATTGTCTCTGCTGCTTTCCCCTGTCCCTCAGCCTCCAGGTGCCCATCTGTGGTCGGTGTGTCCTCTCCTATTTCCTGGCATGTACCCTCTCTGCTTCACCCTGGCTTGTTTGTCTGTTTAAATGTGCCCAGTGTTTTACAATTTTTAAAGTAATTTTTTGAAACACCAAATTTGAAGACAGAAAAGTACTTAAACTTGTAAGAACACTAGGAATTGTCAAATTTTGCTCAAGCCCTACTGTGAAGAAAAAGCCATTCTGGAACTCAGGTTCTTTAGCGTGTTTTAAATTAGATTCTTATCATAAAATTAAATTTGTTAGTGTGTTAAACAAGTTGTTGAAGAATTTTTTTTAATTTGTTCAACTAGGAAAAACTCATTGTGTCCAATGAACAGGAAGTTCTACGGGTCCACTACAGGGCTGCTAGGACACTGGCAAATCAAACACTGCCATTTAGTGCCTGTACTGTCTTACTGGATGCAGAAGTATACAACGTACCATTGGATTCTCAGGTAAGATGTTCTTTCACTGGGCTGTCTTTCAAGCATATTTCCAGAGAAGAAAGTGAAATTAAACAATCATTAAAGTTCAGGGGAGGAGAAAATCTTCCAAACCAAAGTCTTTTCAGTTCAACTGAGTTATTTCCTTAAGTGATCTAAAAATTTGGAATTTGTTTTATTATAAAAGAAGATAGTCACAGAATACTTAGATATATTGGATAATGCTCTTATAGGTTTGTTTCTGTCATTTGTTTCTGAAGTGGATATTTAGACATTAGTTTTAGACCTTCAACCATTGGGAAAGCTGTTGACCCTGGAAATCTAGGTCATAACACGGCCAAATAGAACTCTTCTGATTTGATCTTGGGTGTTAGTGAAATAAAATAATTCAGAAAAGCCAGAGCTATATTTTTAAGCAAGTTTATTTCCTTATACATTTTTTATGACTAGAATCACCCATCTTAGCTACCAGAATTATTTCTTTATTTGTTGGTTTATTTTAGGGATCTTATATCTGCTCGTTCACTCCCCAGATTTCCACATATGGCCAGATCTGGACCTGTCCAAAGCTGGGAGCTTCCTTTGGGTCTCCCACATGGGTGCAGGGGCGTGTGTGTGTGTATCACCTCTGTAGGAAGATATATAGACCATTTCATGCGATAGTTACATGCCCACTTGAGGGGGGGTGTCCTCTATAGGACTGTTTCATGTAGGAGGTAAGGGCCCACTTGAGGTGCCCACATCCCTTAGCTGCGTATTTGGGTAGGAGTCTCAGTTCTGCTGATGCTCTGAATGATTCAGGTATTTGAGTTCCTGCCTGCCACATAGAAATCAGGGAGGAATTCTGCACTTCTGGCAGCGCCTGGCCTCCCGTCTCTGGCCATTACAGCATTGAGGGGGTAACACCACAGATGAAAGATCTCTATGTATGTCTCTCTCTCTTTGCCTTTCAGTAAATAAACAGAATCAAATGGCTGGAAGCTGCTACCTTCTTCCTTCTTTCCTTTCTTCCTGTTTCTTTTCTTTTTTTCAAGACGTATTTATTGGAAAGGCAGAGAGCGATAAGGTAGAGATCTCCCATCAGTTGGTTCACTCCAAAATGGCCTCAACTGCCGAAGCTGGGACAGGCTCAAGGCCTTCATCCAGCTTCCACTGCTTTCCCGGGCACATTAGTAGACAGCTGGATTGGAAGTCGATGACTAACTAGAACTTAAGGAAGAATTGTTAAGGAAAGAGGAGAGGTCACTGAATTTCCAAATTCAAAGATTCTAGAGTGAAAAATAGATGATTTTTTTATAAAGATTTATTTTTATTATTTTTTTTATTGGAAAGGCGGATATACAGAGAGGAGAGACAGAGAGGAAGATCTTCCGTCCGATGATTCACTCCCCAAGTGAGCACAACGGCTGATGCTATGCCGGTCCAAAGCCAGGAGCCTCTTCTGGGTCTCCCACGAGGGTGCAGGTTCCCAAAACTTTGGGCCGTGCTCGACTGCTTTCCCAGGCCACAGGCAGGGAGCTGGAAGGGAAGCGGGGCTGCCGGGATTAGAACTGGCGCCCATATGGGATCCTGGGCGTGCAAGGCAAGGACCTTAACCACTTGCGCCACCGCACTGGGCCCTAGATGATTTTTAATAACTGAAATTAATAGTATAATTCTGTTGCTAAAAGCTAAGCTAGACCATGTGATATTTTGAGTATATTATGTTTTTTGTTTTGCTTTTCTTTTTTTTTTTTTTAAGGTTTCTTTATTTTTATTGGAAACTCGGGTTTACACAGAGGAGAGACAGATCTTCCATTTGCTGGTTCACTGCCCAAGTGGGTGCAACAGCCGAAACTGAGCTGATCTGAAGCCAGGAGTCAGGAACTTCCTCCAGGCCTGCCACAACGGTGCAGGGTCCCAAGGCCTTGGGCCATTCTCGACTGCTTTCCCAGGCCACAAACAGGGGGCTGGATGGGAAGTGGAGCAGCCAGAACTGACACCATGTGGGATGCCAGCACTTTAAGCAACAGCTTTACCTGCTCCACCACAGTGCTGCCATCTAATTCATTTTTCAAAAGTGTTTATTTTCTTATGAGCAACAAAGAGAAGGGGAGGGAGAGAGATCCATCTTTTCAATTAAAAACTTTGTTTACTTTTAGAGAGGAGAGAACAAACAAGTATCAATCCAGGTGTAAAGCAGCAATTCATTTAGCCTTATAAGAAAAAAAAATTCCCTAAGATAATGGTTTTTCAGTCCTAGTTATTAGGGTGGTAGTGGTCCAGTTTTCTTTCGTCAGTGATTTTGGGATCATTTGAGATATACTGGGAAAATTCACTTCTGACATTTTCTTTTTAACCCAAATAAGATTGTCCATTCTTTAACTCTGTGATATTCTGCTATCGGTGTCTGTCATATCACAGGTACTCATTCATATTCTGGGCTGTTAGTTTCCCACCTCAGTTTCTAGCTCTGCTGTGGACTTACTTTTAGGTCTTTTGTTATCCCTTGAGTTTTGAGAGGAGGATGAAATAAACAAGTGTATGTATGTTACTTACCCAGTGCTCTGAACTAGAACACTCCCCCAGTGCCTTGATTATAATCCTCCACTGATACTGTTCTAAAACAGATCTAATTACTCTATGCTTCTGCAAAGCTGAGACAGACCTTGGGCCAGCATTGTTACATGGCTTTCCCTGGCAGGCAGTGTAAATCTCAGGAGCCCACATCATTTTGCCCTCTGTGACCATAGTCATGCCTGAGCCTGAGCAGGGGACAGGCCTGTGAGTCACAGTGTTCCTGTGGTCGTTTTCTGGGCCAAGTCCTGCCATAGGCCTAGATTTGACATGGCTGCATTGAGTACCCACCTCTAATCCAGTTCCCTGCTAGTGTGCCTAGGAAGGCAGCAGCAGATAATCCAAATACTTGGCTCTCTGCCACCCATGTAAGGGCATCCCGATGGAACTCCTGCTTCCAGCTGACCCAGCCCTGGCATTATGGCCATTTAAGGAGTAAACTAGTAGGTGAAAGGTTGCCTGGTCTCTCTCTCTCTCTCTCTGTGGGGAGGGGTGGCTGTGTGTTGTTCTACTTTGAAATAAATACACCTTTTAAAAGGTTGTTAAATCATCCATCATTCTCTTTAAAATGTTTAAATTTGGAAATTCTAGAAGTTCCTTCGTTGCATCCCTGGCATCTGTTTCTCTAGAGTCAAAAACTTTCTTAAGATCCAGCTGTTCATCTTAACAGCCCCTTCAGATATCTCTAAACATAATTTGAAATGGAGCAGTTATTGGACTGCCATTTGCTATGTGCTGATCTAGGTCAGTCTTACTTGTCCATCCATTCATTTATTTACCAGTAAAATAAGTTTATCAGCACAGACAGAAAGACAGAGATCTGCCATGTGTTAGGAGTGGATGAGTCAGGCAGAAACTGGGAGTCCAGAATTCTGATCATGCTTCTGCTTTTTTAAAATAAACTTGTAATAGTAAAAGAGATTCAACAGTAAAATCCTAGATAGTCAAAACGACTTACTGGAGGACCATAAAGGAAGTTATAGCTGCTAACAATGTGAGCAGTATGGGTGGGCCTTTAGAACAGCAGTTAAAGACACCACTTGGGATACCTCCATCCCTTATGGGAGTATTTGAGTTCAAGTCCCAGATCAGCTTCCAAATCCACCTTCCTGTTAATTTGTACCCTGGAAGGCAACTGGTGATGACACAGGGACTTCCACCCCTGCCACTCACGTGGGAGATTTGGATTGTTCCAGGACCCTGGCCATTTGGGACATTTGGACAATCCTTCAGCAGATGGAAGATCAGTCTGTCTCACACTGTGTCATGCTCTGCCTTACAAGTAAAATGTAAATAAATTTTAAGTGTGGGTAGTGTGATTGTCATTCTAAATTCTCAAAACAAGCCAAACAGAGGTGTTCTCTGGGCGGTGATGTTGCTCACCACCAGATGTTGCTTCCCACCAGAATTCCATATTGTAGTGCAAGTTCAAATCTGCTTTGGATCCCCCTCCCTGCCATTGCCCGTGGAAAGGCAGTAGAAGATGGCCCACGTACTGTGTGGGAGATGCAGAAGTTCATGAGTCGTGTCCTTCATTGAGACCAGCCCCATATGCTTTCTCAGGGGGGAACCAGCTGATGGAAGGTCTCTCTGTCTCTCCCATTCATATTCTGTCTCTCTCTCTCTGCCTTTCAGGTAAATAAGTCTTTTAAAAAAGAAAAACTAAAGGTACTCGTATGACACAAGGGATTATTAAGAATATGTACTTAGTTCAAGATTATGAAATAAGGTACAGAGTTGCAGTTTGAACGTAATCTCTTAAATTCCAAAATTACTATTCTGAAGGCTTCTTATAAAAGTTTCTTAGTGGGCATACCAAAACATTAGTCATAGAAAAATGTTCCCTGTGTATGGTAAACTTTAAAATGAAATCTGTAGTCAATTATTGTTTATTAAAAATGTCACAGGCCCAGTACTCCATGTACCTTTTAGAGAAACATCTTTGACTCAGAAGAATAGGAATCACGATGAGTAAACAGAGAGCATATACTATAAAAATATATTATGGCATGTAGATTTTTAAGTTGTTTGTTGTATTTTATAATACTCAGCTGCTTTGAATGTTCTCTTTTAGTCTGATGACAGCAAAACCTCCGTAAGGGATCGCTTTAATGCAAGACAGTTCATGTCTTGGTTACAAGATGTGGATGATAAATTTGACAAACTAAAGGTATGTATGTGAAGAAGTCAGTTTAAATGAACGGGTTCCCCCAAACAGGAACTGCAGTTAGGAAGGATATGGTGGCTAGTCATGAATTCTTCCCTGGCCCATAGCTTGAAAGCTAAAGGGAAATAAAAACCGCAAGTGCATTTTGAGAAGTAATATAAGGTCCAGTTGGAAACTACCATAGTACAGTGCATTTGTGCATGGGTCCTGGTACTGACTATGCAGTATACATGTATGCTATGTTTTGCAAACCTGTAAACAAAAAACTATTTGAGATTGTGAATCACTTGAAAAGTTGTCTGAATTTTCATGATTCCTTTGATAAATTGAAATCTCATAACTTGAAAGCATATTTTTCTCCAAATTGAATGTGACCCATAAATAGTTGGCAGGTTGCTATGAACAGGGTAAAACTGAAATGGATTCGTCATTTGAGATCAATTTTTAAACAAAGAACATCTGACAGAATAATCACCAAACTCTTCTCTTCTTTAAAACAGACATGTCTCTTAATGAGACAGCAACATGAAGCCGCAGCTTTAAATGCTGTCCAGAGACTGGAATGGCAGCTCAAACTCCAAGAGCTCGATCCTGCCACCTACAAATCCATCAGCATTTACGAAATCCAGGAGTTTTACGTTCCCCTTGTGGATGTTAATGATGACTTTGAATTGACTCCCATCTAGCAGTCATTCTTCCCCGAGGCAGTTGTCCTGGCCTGATACGCTCCAAGTGTTACGCCATGGAATGCTGCCGTCTGTCAAAAATACTGGTAGGATGCCTTGGACATCAGTCTGCCTGAAGTTGGTTATGTAGAAAACACCAGTCATTGGATAGGAAAGGAGGGATATTGTGGGTCTCAGGTCCATGTGCAGTTTCTAACAAAACTCTTATTATCGCACATTGGTGAAAGGTGACTGTTGTGGTTGGCAGACTGGCAGGCACTTCAGTAAGAGTCAATTGGCTAACAGCGCTGGCAGTTGTTAGCTCGCTCTTGTGCTCAGATAACCACTAGAGCTCACATCTCTTCCAGGTTTGATTAAAAAGATACCAGGAAACTGAAAGGTTTAATTTCTACCAAATAGCTTCTAATGTGGAAGAAAAACTAGGCACAAAATTTCTTGAGTTTGTTATATCTGTAAACTAATTGTACATTTTCTTTTTGAATGTTTTCATATTGTCTTCCGTTTTAATAACTTATTTTATAAATATTGTGCAGATGTAAATCTTGTAATTACTGGTCAAAATGTATACAAAGGGATTGGTAGTGAAAACATATCCAGAGAAGCAGCTGTAAAAGTTTTGTCTCGTGTGTTATTGGACCAAAGTTGTAGTTTGTATGGGGTGCAGTACTAGTGTTGAGGTAGCAGAACTTTTCAATAAGGCATGCATGTGTTGAGTTAGCTTGTTACCTCACAGCTGTAAAAACTGTGGCTTGGTTGTACTGCATGCTTCTGATAAATTATCTCTCCATAAGTGATGCCTGGAACAGTGTAAGGTGTTTCATACAAGTCTCCTGTGATAGAACCTGTGACTTCCTGTGTGGGACTTATGATTTAGAATTAGTCGTACAGTCATACAAAGAAACTTAGCTCTTGTTTCATCTCACAGTAGAGCCTGTTTCCCCCAGGGGAAAAAAATGCCTTTGAATGAACATCCTAAAATTGTAAATGTCTATTTTAATATTCAACAATGAAAGAATGTGTAAATATATGTAAATATGTTTAATAAATTTTATTGGTCATGTTAAATCATTGTAAAACTTTTTTACATTGCTAAAATTTAATGTTTTAAGCTTAATAACCTTTGCACTTTTAAAATAAAACTGAGTACTACTAGAATCAAAATAGGTATTTGATGTCAAAATAAGTAAAAGAAATCTAGAAATATTCCATTTGCTCTCTGAAATGTTTATGCAACTTAACATGTATTTTTCCTTGTATCAAGATGCAAAACATAATTTGCAAAATTTTATACTTGAAGTAAAATTTGGTATGCTGTTTTATAATAAAATAACTAGCAATATACTTAGAAAAAGTCCCATTTCTCCAATAACATGACAGATTAAATATTCAGGAATATTTCAGGTCTGAAACCTGCTGTAGCACTTGCTAAGCATTTTTGAAAGAATTAATGTAAAATTCATAAGTATCTGGAACTTTCCATAGTACTTTCTTAAATTATACTTTTATTGTGACACAGAGAGTAAAGAAAAAAGATGTACGTGTGTGAATGAAATTCACTTGCAAGTTGGCTGTCCCAGGAAATGGGAGAGAATGCTGAAGTTTTTGAGTGCAAAGGTACATATTAAGCTTAGGGATTTTTTGAATTTTTACATGAATTTATATGTTAACTCTTACTGTACTTGGCATGCGCAATAAAGCAGCACGTGTAAAAACTACACAGTGCAAGAACTTTATCATAAAGGTTGGTTGTAGTTTTCTTTAGAATTTAGGTGAGAGACTTTTGGCCCTTTTTATTGGATAAATGGGGCCAGAAAGGCAGGGTAGGCTTTGAAGCACTGGTTTTGTTGACATTTATTAAAGCTGGGAACACAAAAAGCTAATTTATAGAAGCAATACTTTTTAATATGAAAAATTTAATGCAAACTTTGTTTATACTTTAGCCTAAAAAGGAAACTTGATGGGACAATATGGCAAATCGTAACAGTCAAAACCCAGATTTTTGAGCCTAGAAGTTATAGAAAATGAGAGGGCTAAGTTTGTATCGCGCATTTCGGTGCATTCAGGAGGCATGAAGATGGGGCGGGACTGTCACTGGCCAAGCAGAACAAGCTCCCAAAGAGAAGAGCAAGAAGAAGCTAGTGAGTTTTAGCCAGGCCAGCTTTGCAGTCTCAGCCGGTGGTCACCGCAGTGCTCCTCAGCAAGCTGGAGCCTCTGCTAGCAGTCCTCAGATTGCTTTGTCAGGTATCGGGACAGCCGGAAGCGAGCGCCTTCTCGTGCGTTGGACATTTCTCGTCAAGTCAGTAGCTAAGGGCTTTTGACACTGAAGAGAGTGTGAAACTCTGAAGTGCTAGGGAAAAAACTTGACATGGGCTGTATACCTAAAAAGATTGTGCGTTCTGAAAGAAAAATATATGATGGCTACTTTA